AAAATAAAGGACACTCATTAGAGCATTCTGATCACTGGCAAATCAATTCATTACTGTCTGCAAGCGAGACTACGGAAGGGGGGTTGGGATGGCACACTATTGCAGATTATAAAAATTTATAAGATTGGTCCTGGGGCCCTCCACCAACTTGGGAGCAGGGTATGATTTATAACCATGTGGACCCAGTATCTCCATTTCTATTGCACTGAGGATACTCCTGTCCAGTCCTGTTCCTGAGGACAAGACTGCCTCTCCCTGGCCTGGTTAGGGGAGTCATAATCTGCTTTCAGACCCACTGCCGGAAGGGCCAAACCTTTGACATTGCCATTTATGGTCAGAAAGAACTCAACGGAGGCTGAATTTATGTGGACACAAAGTAGAGTTTGGGTCACCGCCATATACCTTTAACCTTCTGAAGGACCAAGTGGTTAGAATTTAAGCTCCAATACCATTTCCTCTCATCATCTCCCCACCCCCACCCCCACCCTCCCAAACATCTGTCCTAGGAGGACCGGAGTTTTCCTCTGGGATATGGCTGTAGTTAGTCTGGCAAATAGCTGACACACCGAATGTGTATGTATGCAGTGAAATGAACAATGAACGGTAAGTATGATTAATCCCTAGTTAACTCATGAAGATACAACAGTCTGGAGTGCAAATATTTGTTTACTGAGGCTTGACAAGGTCATCAATCTCAGGCCCTGTCCAGGCCCTGGAGAGGTTCGATGGCAGGTTCTGAACAGGGTCATAAGAAGAAGGCGGAAGACTTTAGATCTGAAGTGACAGAAGCCAGTTGAGATGTTAAGGGGCGCTGGGGTGGGAGTGGTGGTCTAACCCTGAAATGCACAGCCAGATTCCAGGTTCTCCTCCGAAAGCCCCCATCCGGTAACTCTGCTCGGACCCTACCAACCGGCATGTTTGAGACCATCTCCTCTTCTTTTGAGTCTGGAACATGGTATCACTCATTGCGTGGAAATGTAAATTGCACCGAAATGTTTGCCAATCCAGCGGCCGGCAGAGCGGGGATGGCGTCGTTCTGCTTCGTAGCCATGGTTTCCATCCTTTCCCGAAGCAGTCCACCGCCCTGAGCGTCAACTCGGCACCCTTCCGCAAAGGCCCAGCGTCCTCGTTGGATTCTGTACCGTGAGCTCCTACAGTAGTTGCCCTTTTGCCACCGACGCACTTAGCTCGGCACAGTGTTCGCCAGACTCACGCCAGAGACTCATGCCTTGGCATGCCTGGAAATTTCATTTTGTTTACAGCTTAGTATTAGTCCAATGTGCATCTAGAGTGGTGTCATTAGAGTTGTGTCACTGGCTCCAGGGACTCGGGGCGTGACCCTCCCCAACTCCCCACCCTTGTGGGTGGGGCCAGCATGCAAATTACCCTCCAGGTGGGCAGGGACTTCTGCTGTGCAGCCCTGTCTCCCCGCCTCCGACCCCCAACAGCTACACCCCTCTCCCATTGGCCAAGGCAGACACACAACTGTCCAATGATAGGTGCTGCTGCCCACCCATGGGCACCGTGACTGGCGGCAGGGGGGGGGGGGGGGGGGGGGAGGGGGGGAGAGGGGGGAGGGGGCAGGATGGCAGGGTGGTGTCTCATTACCCCATTGGGTGGTGGGTGACACCAATTCTAGTAATACCACTGCCCCCTTGACCCTGGGGCCATTTGGGCTCGCCGCCTCTGACAATTTCGGGGGGTGCTGGCTACACCCCCTACCCCAACCTCCTAGTGATGTCAAGGTGTGTGCCTACCAGAATTTGTTTATCCAGCCCTCTGTTGGCAGACCTTTTGCTTTCTCTCACTTTTGGACTGTCGTGGAAAGGGCTGCGGTGATTGTACATCTTTTGGTGTTCCTGTCGCCTGGGTAGGGCATGAGCAGGGTTGGTTGTGTGCTAGGTTACGGATGAGCTGCTGGCCCCTGGTTGGGATCCACCCGCTGCTCTATGAGAAAAAGATGAGTAAGATTTATGTGGTAGTCACCTAATCTGGTGTCAATTTAAGGATTAAGAGTGGAGGGGTGGCGTCTAGGCTGTCAATCTGGAGATAGTGAGACTTCTGTGTGGGCATGGCCTTCTCCTGAGAATTCTGGGAAATCTGGTGCTTCCTCCTTGGAGGCGGAAGACACCTCTCTCTCTGCTACTTCCTGGGAGACATTGCAGAAGACAAGCCACATGGATGCAACCAGTCCTCAGAAACAGGAGAAGCCACAGAGAGACCCCTGCCAGCACTGAGATGTTTCCAATGCCACTGGACCCAAAGACTTTCTACCCACTGGCCTGTGATTGTCCTGCATTTGACTTCATTGCATGTGTTTCGTGAGTCTGAAGAGGACTTTATAGATTGGCATCGGACCTATGGGCTAATATCAGACTTATGGCCTTGGACTGGACTGAGTTGGGATGTTTTCTCCGTGTACAATTACTCTTGTATATAAACCTCTTTCTTATACACATATGTGTGTCGATGGGTTTGTTTCTCTTGTCTACCAGACTAGCACAATTTATAAACTCTGACACACTAGGGACAGTTCTACTCAGTCCTATACGGTTGCTATGAGTTGGAACGAATAGGCAGTGAGTCTGGTTTGCTCTGGGTTTGGGGACAGTGTATACCGAGGACTGGGACTGCTGTGCTCAACTGAGGAGTCACCTAGCTGTTTTGTGCAGTGGCCACACTCTCTGACCTTCCCCTCAGCAATGGATGAGGGGCCTTGTTGCTCCACAAGCTTGCCCACACAGGTAGTTGTTTTCTTTTTTTAAAGAAACCATTCTGATGGACATCTCCTCTTGATTTTGAGTGGCGTCTCTCTAATGGGTAATGAAGGGTCCAAGGTGGGACAGTGTGCTAAGCACTGGGCTGCTAACGGTAAGGTCATTGACCTGAAGCCGGCAGCTGCTCCACTGGAGAAAGATTAGACAGTCTGCTTCCATGACTGTTTACACCCCCAGAAACTCCCGGAACAGCCCTTCTCTGGCCACGAGTCGCTGTGAGTTGGAACCGGTTTGATGCCAGTGGGTGGGTTAATAACTGATGAAGGAGGCCGCGGGGTGGGGGTGGGGTACCGGGGTTAAAGACAGCCAGTGAGAACCCATCTCCACAGGAGAAGGTGGGGCAGTCCTCCTCCATAAAGGTTTACATCCTTGGAAGCCCTCTGGGGCAGCTCCACTCTGCCCTACGAGGTCCCTCTGAATTGGAAGCAAATCAATGCCATGGGCTTGGGTTATTCTTGATGTACGTGTGGGCCACAGGAATGCCGAGTCTGACAAAACGTCTGTCTGAGTCTTTAGTCCGCTTTTTTGCTTGAGTTGTTCGTCTTTGGCTTGTCAAGCATTTTATAGAGTGTGGATATCAGACCCTTCTTATCAGCTTTACTCCCCATCTGTAGCATGTCTCGTGTCTGTGTGGGTGACGTTTGATGAATAAAAGTACGTACTGAGTTTTTATGAGGTCCCAGTTATCTACTTTGCCTTTTTGTTTGCTGTTTGTACTCTTGTTATGTCGGAGAGTCTGCGGCGAACCACAAGTCCCGCAGCTTCATCTGGATGTCATGCTCTGAGAAGTCCAGCTTCACGCCCCACGTACGTCTTGGATCTGTGCTGCAGTGGTTTGGGGGGATGGTATTGAAGTGGATTCATTCTTCTGCATGTGGAAATTCCGTTTTCCTGCATCTCTTTTGAAGAGGCGCTTCCTTCTCCACGGACTGGATTGGTCAGTTGACCATAGATGCTGGGACTGATTTCTGGACTCTCCGTTGGATTCCACTGGTCTGTAGAGCGAGTATTATGCCAGCACCAGGCTGCATTGGCATTTTTGGAGCTGTGGGGCATGTTGAAATGGGATCTACCAAGTGCCATCATGAAATGCCAATGGAAGTATTAAAAAGTTCTACCTAGGTGGGGGTAAATATTAGAACATCGTCAAGTCTTAGCACTATGACCACTATCAATAAGGACTGTGTTATAAACCCACACAAGCAGTACTTTTAAAATCTGCCTCCGTGAAAGGGGTATGTTGTCAATGAATTCGTGTCTCCTTATTTAATGGGGAATAACCACTCCACAAGCACGCTTTTCTGTTGCAGGCACCCCGCGACTCTTACACACACACTGTCCCCTATAAATGTCCTTCACGGTTCGCGGGATCAGCATCCCCACTTTCTGGAGGAGGAAACCAAGCCTTTGACGCTGTTTCTCAAGCCTTCACAGCTATTATACCTCAGAGGTAGGATCTGAACCCAGGGAATAGCAATCATTTCTGTTAATCCATTGGGGAGAGTCCATTCTAACTCATAATGACCCGCTAGGGCAGAGCGGAATTGCCCAGGTAGGATTTCTAAGATAAATGGTCAGGAAGCGGGCTACCGCATCTTTCTTGCTGGGAGTGGCTGGTGGGTTGCAGGTTTGCTCGGTCAGCACTTGTCACGCTTAAAGGTGCCACCTCGGTTGTAAGATGAACAAGCTGAATTCCACGCCCGTGTAGACTCAAAACTTCAAAACTCACTGCCATAATGGGACTCAGCGCTTTGGCAATCCTGTAAGCAACTTAACCTTCGCGTGGCCATCGTCACCCATTTTACAGGCTAGCAAATAAGGGTGAGGACGTTTAAGTCAGTTGCCCAAGACTGCAAAGCCCAGCGGCTGAGCTGCTTGGACCCCGGGGCACCTGCCTCCTGGGTCGCAGTACCA